CACAGCTTGGTGTCATCAGCAAACTTGCTGAGGGTGCACTCGATCCCGCTGTCCATGACACTCAATCCCGCTGTCCATACTTCTCTACAGTAAGCTAATGGCCCAAACTCAGTGTCAGGTTTAGCATTATAAAGCCAGAGGTAGTAGGGAAGGTAGTACAAAAGGAAAGCTCAATTTTGGCTCCTGTGTGTCTCCAGATTAAAAACATGTTTGAGGCCCACGCACACCACTCAGAGATGTGGTTTATACATATGATTACTAGGTCCTCTGCACTATGTATGATCACTCTCAGAGGCTCTGCTTATGTGATGCCCAACACTGATCCCTGAGAGCAGGTAGATAGTTAAGAGTGAAGATAAGAAGAGAAAGTATCCATGTTCACCAGAGAGGGGAAGCAGAATATGATGAAAAAATTAATGAAAGCTTAGAAAGGAAAACAGGAGACTAAAAAAACCTGAAGGACAGAATGAAACCATATGTGGAAAAAGAAGGAAACAAACAAAAAGAGAATGAAATGAGGATGAAGAAAGAAAATAAACAAACATTACACTTTTTTTAAGAATATGACTGAGGGAAAATGAAGACTAAAAAGCTAAAGAAAAAGACTTGGTAAGATAAATCATAGAGAGAGCTTGGAGATTTCTCTTACAGAAATCTGAACCAGGTTATCCCTCATGAAAGCACACCAGGTAGAGAAGCATAGAGACAGCAGACTCTGGAGCTGTATGGATGCAAAAAGGAAAAAGGTGCAGTTACCTACAACACTTGCAAGTTAGTTAGTGGCCATGAGAGGAAGCTCTGGACTGCGACAGAGTGACAAATGGAAGTAGCTAAAAGGAGCCTGCAGGACTGCATAGGATGGATCAAATGGGAACACGCTGAAGGATGCCAGCAGTGGGTCAGCCCTTTCCTCTGAAGACCAGCGAGTACTGGGAAAAGCTCACGGCAGGGTGCTCAAGGTGTTGGAAGGGGCTGGGCTGGGCTTGTCCACAGCACAAAGCAGTTTTGTGGAGCTATAGACTCATCTGGTGACAGAAGAGCAATGACCAACAGGGTGTGAATTTTACTTGGACAAAGAGCAAGAAAAATGAAGCAAATTAATATGAAAGAGGAGAGAGCAATTTGTTGCTGTTGTTGGCGTACATTACATGAAAAAGGCTTCATAGGGGTTTTTTTATATAAATGGCAGTCACAAACAGTGGATGTTTAATGATTTCTGCTGTTTGAGTCACATCAGAACAAGTCCAAAATCTGTAGCTGAGACAGCCTATAAGGTTTTAACTTTAATCAATCTTTCACTGAAGGTGAGATGTGTGCCAATTAGTCATGACATCGCCTTTTAAGGTAATGAAACCATAACAAAAAACAAGAGCCAAGTTTTAAAACAATCCAGTATTCAGATTTTTTAAAAAACAAAATAATGCCTTCCTTCTCAATAAACCCCAAAATTCCTCCAGCCTCTGACGTTGTAAGCCTGGTGGGCTGTCTCATGCTGTCTGGAATATCTTTAGGATAAAGTACAAATAAGCCTAGTGATGAAGGTCTTATCTTCAAAGAAAAAAAGGAAAAAAATAGGTATAGATTCAAAGTCAACTGCATAATACCTTGCAGAAGATGCTATCTTTGTATTTCTATAGCCAAGTTTGATAAAATCTTGTATTTACACGGCATGTTGTATCAGTATATCTTAAAGCATTGTGCAGAGGATGCCAGTATTAGTTCAATTAACTAGAGGAAGTGAATCATTTGTTGAAGCAATTAATTGATATTCCCCAGCAAGCAGTTTACAAGTGAGGAGCAAGACCCATCTCTTCAGAGTCCAGACCCATCTATGCCTTAACCATTGGGGTACTCTGCCCTGTATCGAAATGGACATTGGTACAGAGCAGTCACATCCTTGTTGTGGTGTTTGTTTGTTGTTGTTGGTCTTTTTGACACAGAAAATTTCTGCTACAAATCCTTCAACTATCAAAGCTTCAAATTTCCGAACACACAGGAAAACTCGCTTCATTATACACGGCCATCTTGTTGGAGCAGACCTCCCCTGGATAACAAATATATGCAGGGTATGGAATGAGTATTGTCATTTTACTTGTGTTTGAAAGTGCAAATATCCACATCCCCCTAATAACTGGCTTAACATTCCTACATAAATTTACACCTCTGTTCTCTTGTTAATTCAGGGAATATATGGGGGGAGAAAAACCTCAGAATGAAGATCAGTTCCACATGACCACCCTTTTGTACCTAGCTATGAGTATAGACACTTCAGCTTTCTGATAAATGCCCTTTTGCTGCATTCACCTCCACAGGGAAAGTTATAATTAATTGATTATTCAATTCCTTGCCAATAATGAAGGGGGGGAAAACAGTAATGTTTCTCACCTCAGCAAAAGGTCAAAATAAATATTTCAGTTTAAGTGAGGCATTTGATCTAATAAAACCAAAATGCTTTGCTCAGCAGATCGTTTTCATTTTATTTAGGGACATTTCAAAAATGAAATTGTTTCAGAACTAAAAATCAGAATGTTCCGTTGCCAGAAGTGTATAAATAGAATATTTTGGTTAAAATATATGAACTGTGGGCCTGAACAATTTAAGCACATTAAAACAAATTTGTGAATCCTTTTAGATAATCCAAGCATATAAATTTTGAAGAATAAAGCTTGGACAATGAAAAAGAAGTCATACTGTCCTTTTTTTTTCTAACCGTGGTACTGTCATTAAGGGAAGTTCATACGCTAAAGCTAACCAAGGCACCTGGAATAGAAACCAGAACTGAAGCAAGCATCTGTGTGTCTTTACACAGTGTTCGAATCACTGCCTCCACTCTGCCTCCTTGTGTTGATTCTTCAGTATTAGTAGGAATTAATATATTAAAGATGTGTCTTTACCAGTCACATGGACAAAGTGAGTCCCCAGCTATAGCAGAATAACATATCGTTTGTATACACTCTGCTACAATTGTAATTAATACTCATTTCCTTCTGTTCTCCTGTTTTCATGTTTTCCACCAGTTCATGTTTCACACTGAAGATGTGAACTGCATTTTGACGGACTGGAGAGGTGGTTCTAATGGTTTGTACACTGAAGCTGTTAACAATGTCCGCATTGTGGGGGCTGAGCTGGTATATCTGGTGAACCTTCTTGAGGTAAAAGTATCTGTGGAACGTGAACGCCAGCACATAGTCTGTATGGTAAAGGCTGTGTTTAGGGTGGCACCTTTAGGTTTGATGCAACAGAGTCAGGAAGTACAAAGGTACTCAATAACGCAGCTGAAAATGTCATAAAAAATCTCTAATCCTGTACAAGTGGAAATACTTTAGTGTCAGATCACAGATAAGCATGTCCCAAAAGGCTTACAGGCCATAGTTTCTGAAAGTTTTGCTCATGATGGACTTTTTACTGGATAAGACATCAGATTGGAGACTGTCTCGCAAAATCGGCAGGGTGAAGAGCCGTAGTAAGAGATGGCCAATACGGCTAAACCATCCCTCTCTGGGCCACACACGCTGCCTCCTGCGAGAACTGGATCGCAGCAGAGAAGCGACTCTCCTGCAGCCACCGATGTCAGGCTCCCCATGCAGAAGCTCAGCTGGGCCCGGCGCACCGGCAGCGCTCCTGGCATGGTCCTCCCCGTCCCGCAGGACCTGCATGGTGGAACACCTCCATAGCAGGACGGCTGCTTGGTTCACACAGAGGGCATGCCACAGACAAAGGCAAACTCCTCTGCCACAGACTGCTGTCCTGACCAGACAGGCAGGTTCAGAGGTGAGGCAGCGAGGTCATTTGCCTCTTGGATGAGCAATCAGTGGAAATGTAGGGGACCCATGTGCAGAAAGTCCCTTTTCCTTCTTTTCTATCATAAGGGCCAATTCCTGACACAGATTACTCCCTTCCAGAGGTGTCATATAAGAATGGATGGGATGAGTTGGGAACTGCTTCTCTTTCGGAACAAATCCCAACACCTGCAGCGACCCAAGACAGTCCCCTCCATTGCCCACTGGTCTGGCCATGGCCTAGCACAGCATGGGGCCATGATGCAGTGACACAGGCTTGTATCCCCCGCTTGACACGCTTGTTTTTTCCTTTCCATACATCTTCACAGAAAGACTATGGCTACTCTCCTGCCAACATCCATTTCATCGGCCATAGTCTTGGAGCACATGCCGCAGGGGAGGCAGGGAGAAGGAAACCTGGCATTGGCAGAATAACAGGTACTGAAGCTATTTCAATGGATGAAGCTTTATATTTTCATGCAACTTAAGAGAACTGAAGAATCACTACTGCCTCATGAACGCATAAGGCAGACCGCGATACGTTGGTTTGTTGTAACAGTATACAGCCAACATGACAGCACACAAAGCCATGTCCTATCCCACGCCATGCATTTCACATGTCAATGTTCCCAGCTTTGAGAAAGGCTTGACTGCAGCAGATCAGAAAGGTTTAACTGTCGTGCCTGTGGCTAAATAAAGGTCATTTTTCGTGGGTCACGAGTCCCAGGGAACACTTGGGTATGATTTTTAATAATATAAAAGAACAAGAACAAAATACTGTATTACATGTGGAATAACCCATTTGTAAAACAGTAGCAATTCATTGTCATATTTGATTTTAAAAGCCCACTCTAACATGACTTTTCAGCAGTTCAAAAGATTGAACATCTGAAACGAATAATTAAAGCCCCTATATCCAGTATGTCAGGATGAGAGAGTAAATAGCTATGGACACCCTGAAGAGGAAGCAAGCTGTTAGTCGCATAGCTACAGAGAGACACGGCGACATGACACACACATCACTTTTTTAAAAGGCTCGCTATTTTCTGCTTTCCTTTCTCCTCCAGTCAGTTTTTTTCTCTGCATAGACTTTGCTTTGACTAAGGTGTGTGGAGAGTGAGCAGTCACATAAGTAACTCGGGGAAACTGGGATCAGAACTGTGTTGCTGTAGCCCTGAAGAGAGCTCACTGACACTGAAGTGAAGGGATAACATTTTAAAGCAAGCTCTTTTGGAAATAAAAATAGTTTTTTGACAAAATTAAAATTCTCAAACAAATCCACATGCTCAGAGTAACATACCAAAATTTCCTATTTTTCACTAACATTAAAAAAAAAAGCCAAACCCAAACCTCTTCTTATAACATTGTTCCCCAAAAGTAAGCCAAGAACCCCTCAGCATTTTACTGTGCTGCTCTGCCTCCAGCCACGTATTAAGACAGCTTGTTTTACTGGCTGTAGACCACAAAATGCATTTTTATATATGGAGTAAAGTCAGAAATGTAATGACATATACACACTGTATGTGATGACATACATATAGCAGTATTTACTCAGTCAGACGTATCTCATTTATTCAGGTTTGGATCCAGCTGGGCCCCTTTTCCAGTATACTCCCACAATGGTTAGGCTGGATCCTTCAGATGCAAAATTTGTTGATATAATTCATACTCACGCTGGTCATCTTTTCTTTGACTTTGGTAAGTTTTCACACAAAGGCTGACACCAACACAGAGGTTGGCCACAGCATCGTACCCGAGAGTGATCAGCCTTGATTCATTATATATTTCAGCTCCAGGGATTCTTCAGACTTGTGGCCACCTGGATTTTTACCCAAATGGTGGGAAGAAGATGCCAGGATGCAAGCAGCTTCGTGTACCCCCTGCAACTCAGAATATCAATGACCTTATGAGAGGTAAATATATTTTAAAGAAGTAATACCTCATTATAAGCTACAGTTAGAAATAAAGGCTGGGCTAAGGTAAAGCCTTTTGAATATTTATGTTATTTATATAGCTCAGATTTGGAGTAGGGAGGGAATGCTCAAAAATGGAAGATTTAAAGCTGCCTGTGAAATAGGCTCTAATTTTCTTATATACTAACCAAGGCAAATTCCAGATGGAAACTTCAGTTAAAGCATACAGACTTGTTCATTGCAACCTGTTACAAGAGCCTACCACTGTTCTGCCAGACTGACCTCAGTGGGAATTCCACAAATGAGGGACTGGTAAAATTTCATTCAAGGATAACACAAAAATGAGTATGTTAAAATCTGAGCTTCCCTTCTCCCTAGAAAGATATCAGTCCCAATATTACTGGGGTTAGACATACTCATCCACGCCATTAACAGCTTTAGTGTCTTCAAAGGGAACAGCACAAGGTTAAAAATATAGCAGATGATAAAATGACTGCTCCATTGATAGTTCATGTTCTTCAAAGAAAGCTGGGCAGTTAATCAGAATTACCCTGGGATCAGTACAATAGATCCCCAAAATCCTGTCTTCTGATCCTAACCTAGGGAAATAAGAACATCTGTTATTCACAGCTAAATGTTTTGAAATCCCTATGACTAGTTAAGTAATTGGATTTCAAAAATGCTGTCTTAGAATCGGTTGGAGAACTTAGTAACAGAGGACTGAAAGCTGGCTGTGCACAAAGTCACTTGGAACCAAAACACTTTCCAATCAGACTGCAGAAGAATGTCTGCATGTTCAGAAAAAAAACCCTAAATATTTTCCACAGACATTTCACAAGGCTGTTTGCAACGTTTTGTGGTCACGGAGAAGCTCAGCTCTATTGAACATGAGCAGATGGAGTTGGTTGTTCATGCAGCTCCTAGAAGTAGAGACAGCCTTAACTCCTGCCTCTTGTTTACACCTTACCTTGGGCATATCTCTTCTGTTTGATAATATTTACATTTATGTAGTGCTTTTATGTATGAAGTGCTTTAGAAATGCTATTTAGCAACTTCTTTCTACAGCTTTTGATGCAGTAGGGAGAGGAGTATTATGTTCCCATTGTATAGATGTTAAGTGAATTTGGCACTACCACAAAGCCAACTGTAAGAGCTGAGATTTGTAAAGTTAAAAGCACAGACCCTTCTGAATTAGATTTGAAGAAGGAACTATAGAGAAAACATACTCAGAAAGCCTTGATGATGCAGATGATTATTGCCAAGAAAAACAGAGAAAAATACTTTCCAGAGGGTTTCTGGTGTGGGGTTGTTGGGTTTTTTTCTTTCCTTATGTAAAGAACAATGTGTATCAACTGGTCAATGCCAACTGGTCTGTCTGTAAGATGCATTACAAGCTGTGCCAGTTCGCAACTACTACTACTTCAGTGCCTCCAAGACTTCACCCTGTCACTGGGTGAGCTGAGGCAGAGTAGAGCCCATTTCTATACAACCTAACTTTGGTTTATTGTGCTTTGATAAAGGAGGGACTTCAGAGCCAGTGGAGACAATGCGTGTTACAAGGGACCTGCAAATATAATCCAAATAGCACTTTCTTCTTTCCTGTACTAACTGCTTATAAATTTCACTGTGATGGGAAAATGTACTTGTTTCAAATAATTCTGACAAAATCAAGGACACACTGCCAAACATCTTGCTTTTCAGAGCATTTCACAGAATCACCACTGTCAAATGACCGCAGATTTTCTAGCGCTTAAAAACATTGAAAGCCACTGAAGTTAAAATAATTACTACAATTACCTTTAATTTTAGAAATGAGTGGAAACTGTGGTTTTACAAAATACCGTGTTGTGATAATGGTAAGCAAATGAAAACTGCTTCGTAGTAACTACTGTATGCTTTACAAATGCTGTAGCTATGAATTATTCCAGTCTTTCAAATATCAAAGGGAAATTCTCCTAAGGCCTCCTCGGTTCTCATGCTAAAGTAAAAGCAGTTAAGTACACAGAGCAGGACAGGAGGCTGCACGAGGTCCACCTTGGTGCACCTCCACCTCTGTTAACTTCAGCATGAGCACAGGGACACATTGATTAGAGCCTAGCTCTTGCCCATCAAAAAAATATACGTAGTATATTTTACTATAAACGCAAATAATTCACACTTCAAACATCTTTTAATTATTACCTTTTTTTAATCTGAGACTTCAAATTTGTACGTATCTGTATGTACAAATGCTTATGAGGAAAGAAGACCCACAAGTGTTGTTTCGGCACGGACTTTATGTTGATGTATAGCTTTAATCTTTTTTTACCTGGGCTTTTACCCAGCATATAGATCTATTGGATGTGGACATAAAAGAAGTCTCCGGTATTATGCTGAGAGTATTATCACTCCCAATGGATTTGTTGGGTATCAGTGTGAATCATATCGAGCTTTTGTACTGGTAAGTACCAGGGACATATTTATCTGAGGGGTTATAGCCCTGCCCTTCTCCTCTTGATAATTTCTGGGACAACTTCTACACTCTGGATCATGGGATACAGGGGGGCTATGCAGACACACTGACTGTCCTCATCCAGACCGTACCCAAAAAACAGGCAAGATGCAGAAGCAGGAAACTCAAAAAAAACCCAAACCAAACAAAAAAACCCAAACCAAACAAAAAAAAAAACCCCAAACAAACAAACAAACCAAGCAAACAAACAAAAAACCCCCCACAACAACCAGCAGAAGAAAATAAGGCAGTAAAAGACCAAAAACAATTACAAAGGGAGATAGGAAGAGGGCAATGAGAGGCAGTGGCTGGGTTCACTTTTCACGCAGGTCAGCAGTAAGGGACACTCACTCTGGTTGAAGGAAATCCATCTAAACCTGGTAGAACCCATCATCAAGAGGACAGCCACTGGATTTCAGAAATGTTCAAAGGTCTGTGTAAGCAATAAACATCCACAGTATATAGGGCAGGGGAGACACTTCTACAGCACAGCATTGCTCACACAGCCCTCCAGTGGCAAGAAAAAGAAGGCAGCATAATGACCTTGAAAGTTTGATGTAATTCAGAACTTTAAAACCTGAACCCTGTGCAATTTAGTGATGCGAGGGAAATGGTTTTTTTCAATCTCATAATAAACAAGTGATGATGGTCATTTAGCTTTTATTTCATCTAATGCCCAAATAGCCAAAGATCCACAAATGTCAGTTCCTACAGAACCTCCCAAATATGAAAATTGAACTAAATATAATAATGCTATTTTGTCCAACTGCAATTAAATCACTTTCACTGCAAATATACACACTTGTCTTTTTATTATTATTATTATTATTTTTATTTTAATGGACCTCAAGGTCTTGATCTGAATGTTTGATCTGTGTAGGCAGATTAATTTCATTAAGGTTCTGCATGGGAATAAAGGCTGAAAAGCAGACAGAACACATTCCAAAGTGAGATCCCAAGCTTCAGTATTCCTAAACTTAAATATCTTTACCGTATGAGTGAGATATCCAGTCAGACCTGCTTGCAAATATGGTTAGCCACCCTATAATAATTAACATACAGGTTTTCTATGGACCCTATGAAAGATGAATATATTACCTATATTTCACAGGTCAGGTATTTACTTATGGTTTCTGCAAGAGCATGAGGAATTAGGCCAGATTTTTAACCTGTTTCTCTCTGATTTTCAACCAGATGAAATAAGCTGACTGACCATCTCAGCTCCTTTTTTCACTGCACTGATAAATACTGATGATATGATCTGAATTCAGAAGCAAGCACCTTTTCAAAAAAAGCTGGGAAAAAGCTGAAAAATCCTAATTTCTTAAACTCTAAGAAGCAGAATGAAAACAGATAACATGTTGTAACACTCATTGTTATTTTCCCCCAGGGAGACTGCTTCCCCTGTCCGAAGGAAGGATGCCCACTGATGGGTCATTATGCTGACAAGTTTTTACATAAAACTGAAAAAGAACAGCAAAAGGTTTATTTAAACACAGGGCCCTCCTCTCCTTACGCTCGTAAGTGCTCATTTTGGGTGGCGAATTCTAAAGTGGCAATGAATTATGTGTGAACAAATATCTTACACTTCTACAGACAGCTGCTGGAATTAATGAGTGGCACTCAGTACAAAATCTAGAGTTTCAGGTGTGTTAGAAATGTGCAGTACCAGCATTACCTGGGAAAGCCCGAGATAATTATAGAAACAGATCAACTGATGCTGATCTCTGAGTTAGAAACTCTGCTAAAATTTTGTTAATTAGATTACTGCTTCAAAAATTCCATAAAGCTGAAGGTGGGAGGAACATTATGCTGAAAATGCAAAACTTCAAATAACAAAAAAATCACATTGTTTTTATTGACAAAATTCTATAAAACTGGATCATTTCAGAATATTTTTGCAAAGCTCATCAACTGAAAATGGCAGGGAGTAATAAGAATTATAGTTTTAATTGTGATTAATGTTGAAGCAGCCACAGAACTGGGAAATAAGAAAGTTCATAAATAAATTGTAATCCATCACAGGTGATGAACCGCAAGGGCAATAAATGAGAGAGGGTCTTTGAGGTCCTTATTCACCAGGAACTAAAATATGAAAGCAAACTTAAGAACAAAAAAATTATATCACGTCTCCATAAAAGCAAAAAGTAAAAAAATCAATTTGAGTATGGAGAATCTAGCCATTTCTCAAATCTGAATGAATACATTAATTTCAATATTTACAAACCATTGAGTTTATAGAAATTATAGCCTGAAACCAAATATGACCTTATGAATTGGGTGAAGAGATTCTCCTTTTAATAGCCCGAATTAAAGCCAGTACAAAAACTTCCCAAACCTGGTTGCTTAAAATCAGTATGTGCTATTGCGTCTGAGGCCCTGCTTCTGCCACGCGAGGTGACAGGATCTCCTGACAGCTGTGGGGCTGCGTACAGGTATGAGAAAAACCCTAAACGCTCTGTGTATCAGGATCACCCTGGGAAAGCTGCCGGGTTTGTTTAATATATCTTTAACAACACAGCAGTCCAGTGGACCTCGCTTCGTCGTTGAGAGCTAACAGGCTACCCGTGAGACCCCACAAACTGCTTACAAGTGTAAGAAATTACAAAATTAAAAGCGAGGCCCAGTGGAAGAGCAAGGGACATTATTGGCAGATTAAATACTCAGCACAGCCAGTAGGTCAGCAAAGATTGCATCTGTGATTTAGACCATTGTCAAGGAAATTAATACTACCAGAATCACAAAGAACTAACATTTCCCTTAATAAAGAGTGACATTTTGTTTGTTTACAAGCACATTTGTGCAATACTTTTCTCTCCCTAAAAGACATCGAAACATATGAAAAGTTTTACCATTAGGAAAGAAATTGCCTTACAACCGTAATCTATTTCATTTTGCTTTCAAAGGCTGGCGGAAAGAGATACGTGTCAGAGTATCTGCGACAGAAACCATGAAAGGAAGTATAGATGTAGCCTTGACTGGAACTAATGGGATCAGGAAAAAATATACAATTGACAGGTAAGTTTAACGTGATTGTTGAAAAAATGGCTCTATCGTTGTTATCATATTGAATTTATACACAGCTATTTTTACATGTCTCATCTTGCTCTATGTGATCTGTGATTTACACTGGTAATAAAAATAGCTGATAAGGGGTTGAAGTTCCCCATGCCACAGACTGTCGTCAAAATCTGCTTGCTGGTCTCTCTTTCTCTGTATTTTCTTTTCTTTTCTGCGGATGATGGTTAGCATAGCAAAGTGGGCAAGAGCAAAGAGCTCTGTGGCTACTGCTGGACTCAAACATCATTTGGTGATCTTTGAGGAGACAGAGCGCTGCATGACGTACAGTCATTTAATCATCCCCTCCTCTAGGCAATATGTGAGTAAGAAAGTTGCTTATGAACTGTGCTGGAGTCTGTGTCTTGACTCAGCCTGGCCTTTTCCCGTAAACATGAATTTAAATCTCACAAACTGATCCTTGTCGAGAGCACAGTTTAAATTCTGTAAACCCAACCTCCTCTGTGTTCAAACATAGCCCTGTTACTGGTCTGTACCAGGAGTGCCTTTGGTTGCAAATACACTACTGCAGCGATACCCCTACAGGTAATTTCTATGTTAATGCCACACTGTAATGTGCACTCTGTTATAATGAACACTGATACCACAGAAAGCACAAATGTAAACTATAATTTTCAATTTTCCTCATGGTTGAGAGCAAGCAAAAACACTGAGAGAATTTTTTGACTTGGACTTATTTGAAGATAGATCTCATTTTCCAAAAAAAAAAAAACCCATCTAGAATAAATCCATGGCAATACTGACAAAGGCCGGGCTAACTAATCTGATGTTTTCATCCTGAAAAGAACAGGAATGTAAGCAACTAACTCATTCGCATCCTTCTGTAGATCCCTCTGAGTAGCTATCTCCTCCTTAGGTACCAACAAGCCTGTACGTAGGGCTGATAGGCTGAAAGCCTGTAGCAGAACCCACAATAACGTCCCTGTGTAAGCAGGAATGGTGTGTTTCCTCTGCTTTCTCAAATAAGGTTAATACAGAGACTTTGTGGCCTTCACAAATCTGCCTGACTGGGATCTGCACCACAGACTTCAGCCAAAGGGGGAAAAAAGTGACATTTAGTCCACAGAACTTCCTCCAAGTATTCAGGATAAATGGTGTTGGGAGAGATAAGGTAGCCTCAGCACCACCACAATAACTTCAGGGAAGGCAAAAAAATTGCAGTAATGATCTGGTGGAAGAAATCAACCAAAATGTCAACAAGACATTCCTTCCTAATCCTTACCAAAAAAAAGTTAAATGTAAAGTGCATTATATATTTTTAATTTTTTTTATCTTCCCTTAAGTTTAGCCTTGTTATAATGTTTGTCAAGAAGAAGTATTTGATATATTCTATGTACAAAATAATCTAATGTCCAAGGACTTTATCAAAGACTTTGCTGTATGGCGTGAATGACTAGTCAGCAGAGAGAACAGGACTTGGTGGTTCTGGACCTGAGACATGATCTCCTACTGGCTAAGCTGAAAGCCTCAGATCTGCATGAGGCTCTGCATCAAGAGCCCCGTGTGTTCCCCAAGGAACGTACTCTCCAAGAACATGTTCTAAGCTAAAGTTTTGCCTAATGTCCCTGAGTGGTAATTCTTGAAAAAAAAATGTAATAAAATTATAATGATAATATTCAACGCTTCCACTCTCATAGCGTCCCACACCTCCTTTCCCTTTCTAAACTGTAGCTTTTTTTTTTCCTCATTTGTAAAGAACACTGAGCATCACTTCTGTGCTTTTCTTTCTACAGGGGCACTTTCAAACCAGGCAATACATACTTGAACTACGTTGATACAGAAATTTCTGGGAACATTTCAAAAGTTGAGTTTCTCTGGAAAAAGCACCTGGGTCATGTACACAGAGGCTGCATGGGAGCTGAAGAAGTAACAATAATATCTGGGGAAAATGGAAACGTGTGAGTACATAATCTAATGGTCTTCCATTCTGTGGGCCTGGGGGTAAAAACAAGGAAAAAAAAAGGAGGGGGGAACAAAACACCTTTGCTTGGTATCATGTTCCTTAAAGAAAGTGGGTTTAATTATTGCAAATAAGAGCCTAATCCAAACGTCGCGGCAGTACCTGGGTGCTTGGGTGATTACAGTTACTCCCACCAGCTCAGCACTGCAGCCAGACTTCCCCAAAGTACAGAGATATCAAATCTGAAATTCTGGCAGGGGGGGTGTAGCCCTGTACTTTTAAGAAAGGTACAAGTTTTTCTCCTAAATTGCAGCACATCAGAAACAGCTCTGCACAGTACAACAGTATACCTGCCTTGGCAGGGTACTTTAGGCTGATTCTAACCTGATCCCACGTCCAGGCGCCCACTGGCATCTGCAGTACGTTAGGTATGCTTCTGGAGCGCACCTCTCGGTTTAGTTTTAACCAAAATGAATCCGGCTGATGGGTTCAGACCCCTCTGTTGTGTAAAGCAAATTGTGGTAATTGGGGAAAACAGAGTGAGGGAGTCACTTCAGAAGCATGGTCCAAATTAAGATGCTAATGGGATCTGAGCATAAAGCCAAACGTGTCTTAGAATTTACTAATTATATACTAACTAGTAATTCTTTAAAAAAAATCATTTGATAACACACATACTTCTTGTTCTCAGTCAACTAGAACCCATGCTTTGACCTAACATAAAATAAAATTTGAGTTTATATTGATTATCTTTGGCCACTGAAAAACATTTCCTTAAACCCTTCCTCCCTCGCCAGGTCTGTGTTCTGCGGCTGTGGAACCGTGCGGCCGAGCACGTGGCAAGCCCTGGCACTTTGCTGAGGCTCGGAGAGGAATGCTGTGGTTGTCCACTGTGGCAACCCTCACCATCTGGAAGAACACACTTCTTCAGTCAGCAGCAAACTATTAACAAGGCTCCTTCAACAGACAGCAAAAATTTGCCCAGCCCTCTGCAAAAGCTGTTTCCAAATTAGTGTTATCGGCTTTTATCCGTACAGGGGAGTTACACTTCTGTGAATTCCAGTTACAATGACAGCTTAACAGGTATTCTACTAGTAGCACACTCACGCAATGTGACTATATTTCAGAGTCAAGGGGAAAATAATAAAATAGAAAAAAAAGTTCCAGCTAATTCTCCTTTGAAATACATTTAATTACCGTAGGAGGAACATCCAAAGTGAAACAACAGCAACAACAACAACAAAAGAACAATGAAGAATGAAAAAAGATAAAAAGAAAGGAGATGGGGAGAAAATAAAAAAGGACCATAGACAGCCAAATTCTTTAATAGTGCTTGCTTACTTGTTCAGGAAAAGGACACTTTCATGTTTTCAGGAGCATCTGATTCTATGTCAGGAGTCTGAGGAATAATTTCAAATATAAAAATAATCTGAGTTTGAATGGCATTGCCTGACGTGTTCTTCCTTTCTGACGATCACATTTAAACAACGTTTTAGAAGCACATCCAAAAGATTGCTTAGGAGCTGGGACTGCGTACTGAGTTGTACAGAATACCTTGAGAATCTCTTCCATGCAAGCTCACAATTTGTCAAGCTGGACGGACAGCTTAATGCACAGCAAAATATTTGATTGTTGCCTTTTTCCTGGGGAAGAACTCATTGATGCACTGTCTCCAGCTCTGCTGAACGCTGGTGAGCTGGGACTCTTTATACCCGAAACAGGCATCTTCTTTATCAAAACGCTGCTGCACTATTGAGGATGTTCATTTTTCTAGCAGCCTTCAAAGTAACTATTTTCTCCTGCCAATGAAGCTGAATTTTCCACCTCTACCTTGCCTTTCTAAAGCCACTGATGTCAGGCCTGAGCCACATTATTTGCATTACTGTATAGCATTGCCCCCTCCCCAAATTTGGAAGCATTTTGATTATACTGGTTAACAGACTACTAAGAGTTATCAGCGTCAGCCAAAATAAGCTAAGATTGTTTCAATACAAGCTAACCACAAAAATCCTTTCTGTGTTTATTTGCCCACTGTAGTCTAAGAGATACAGCTAATTTTTAAATCTGATCTCAGGTTTATAATTTGGGGGCAGAAATCCTGTGCGTGAATCCCATTGGGCAACTCTGTTCTGTCCCATCCCAACAACTAGCTATTCCAGAATACTTCCAGTGAGGTTTACCAGAAGGTGTTAATGAGATGCATTACACAAGGCTAGATGTGAGTGATGAACAGGTGTGTTTCCAATTATGCAGCAATAATTTTGAGATGTCAGAATCCAGTCACTTCCTATGAAGTTTGCCAGAGGAGCTTGCTTAGGAGGTTTGCAGGAAAGTTGACAAATCAGCTGTCTACCTTCCCGGGCTCTCTGCAGGGAACTTGTCCTCCTCTACCTCTTAGGGAAACTCCTTAGGCAAGACCCCCCCCTTCTTCCGTAAGTAGGGACTCCCCACTCCGCGTTCCCCTGGAGAAGCGCAAAACAACCCCCCAGGTACTTCTGTGCAGTTGGGAAATATCTGCAGCTGGTAATTACATCATCTTTAACATCCTTCATAGATCAGGCATGGCTCTCGGCCCCAGAGTTGCACAAATAAAGGAGACTCAGGGAGGAAAAAAGACAGACCTATTTTCCTTTTTTTACAGTCAGGAACTGAAGCAAAAGAAATGTAAATATTTTCCTCAGGGTCATGAAAAACTGTGCAGCAGGGCCAGGCACTGGATTGGCTCATCGGATTTGATGCGATGAGACGGCAGTGTGAGCAGCGCAACGTAGGCTATCGCCTCTCACACGAAGGAAGCAAGGTCCTGTTGGACTCGAGATTTCTAAAAAGCCCATCCCCTCCTGCCTCCATGCTTGGCTGTGCCACTTTTGCAATTCTAAAAATTAATTTGGTGGTTTTGTGAATAATAAATCATATTCTTACTTTCAAAGTAAGAATACAATACAATACAATCTTTCATTTTGTTTAATTTTAAGCTATTGATTTCAACAGCGTTCTGACAAAACAGAACAGCTCATAGGGGCTGATTACTTCTGCTACAAATGCGGTCCAGCTGATTAGGCCACTTAAAAATATGTATTTTCTCACCCAATCAGTTCAGATAAAAATAAAATATTACATTAATTTCTTCCTCTTGTGTTGTCCTGTTTTGCATTTTTGTCATATAATGTTTCTTGAATTAATTTTCATTCTTTGGTATAGTAAACATCAACACTGCACTTCTTTGCTAATACACGTATAGACAGAGCATGAGAGATTTATTTTTATGAGCTAAAGCAGCTCTGTGTTGGTAGCATATAGTCTTCCTCCTGTTTTCTTCTGTATTTAAAAATGAAAATTGTTACTTGTATGAAACCTTTGGATACTATCACTTTGTATTAATGGAGCCAGTCCGAAAAAATGTAAGGGTTTGGTATTTCACAAGACAACCTGCCTTTGTCAAAGACTGGAACAGGTAATTCTTTCATATCTTCACAACAAGGTAAGCCAGCTTTTTAGAAAATTTAGATGATTGCATCTTTAAACGTCAAGTGAGATGCATCATTTGATATGTTTGGCTGTCAGGTAGAGAGCTAGCTTTTTTTTTTAAATCAAATGTGCTTCATTTGTCTAGGGTTTTTAAGGACATACTATGATTTGCATTCAGTCTTTTACATTATTTATATATTCTGCAACACTATGGGTGCTTCAGAATCACAATACAAATTTCATTTTATACTTCTTAAGCATTTGTTCACTACAAAAATTATGCCAAAAGGTGAATTACAAACAAAGCCATTACAAAGCATTCAGCCTCAGCCCCTTTCCTCTCTCATGACACTCTTTTGGCAATGGGTTAAGGTAAAGCAAACACACATCCAAACAAACTTCTCAAATCTTTTCTAGAAGAAGAGAACAGCAATAATAAGTAATCCAAAATACTGTCTGCTCCACTTACATCATCTGTATTTACTTTATATGTAACATCAGAAAAATAATTTTAGGAGTAACAGTATGCTTGTCATAAAGCGATATATGCAGGTACGCTAATGAGAAAACAAGGACCATTTTTATCAGAGTTCTCCATTAATGGGAATAAAATACTCTACTGCATAGCACAGCAGACTGTCTTCTTTCCAAAAAGCACAGTCTATCAAAAAGTCCTTCATAAATATTTCGAGCTCTGAACCAAAGCACAAGAATAATTAAAATTAATTGAGACCTCAATGTTCAGTTTAGGCAGCCACCTCTACCCACTTTTGATCTTATCTATTTTATTTATGTGACTATTCAGGTTTTTTCATGCTATCCTAGAATACATTGATAAAATCCTGAATGAACCACAAATTTGCGGGAAACAAACCTCCTACATCAGTTCATTCAAGAAGTCCTTTTGGTCCTTCAACTTTGTTAGGGATGAAGCTTGACAAGGATCTTGGACAGAAAGCCTCCCCAGTGTCTTCATGAAGCCCTCAAGACTATCTCGTGTCCGATTATATCATTTTATAGCCCGGTCACTTGGCAGCATCTTTCCTTATAGAAACTCCACAGGAATCTCCATAATTTTCTCCAGGAAAAAAATACATCAGGCTTTTTTTTGCTTCTCTAGATAATCTGCAGGATCTCTATTTCACATGTTCCCACATGATTTTATATAAGTTTTTGTTTCTCTCTTCAGATTTCTGTTGCTCCAAGAAAAGCTTATTCTTCTCTACATAGACGCATTTTGATAAGTTTTTGAGACTTCTCCCTTTACATTTAATTTAGGTTAGAGTCTTTATCTTTGGCATGCCAGAAGTGAGTGAATGATTACCATGGCTCAGTGCCTGAGAACACGCATCCTGAAGGTACTTCTGGTAGATCTGAGATCTGTTTTTAATTTTTTTCAGCCCACAGTTGTGTCGTATCAGTTACCAACCCACCTGTAAGATCAAATCGCCTGGAAGCAAGTCTGTTTTCCCAGTTAGTCTTGCCGGGGCATCGCCTCACTGCCTTCTCTTGCATTTCCTCCTGGATATTTTTA